GTTTATATTCGTGTATCAAATAACGTAGGCAAGGTTTTGAAAACAGTTGTAATGACTCCAATAAATTGCATGTTTACCATTGCTTTGAAAACAATTACTTCTAATGATAGTATTAACAGTGACAACACTAAGGGTAACTATTATTGAATATTTACTATATATCCGGCTCTAAAGCAAGGATTTTGTCATACTAACGTCATTTAACTCTCCACCAACCTGAGATACAGGTATTGTTACCTTCATGTTACAGATAAGGAAACAGAGGTGAGAGAAGTTTAAAAAATTAGACAAAGAGACCACAGGGCTAAAATCCGGAAATGACAGCTTTAACTGGCGCGCGCGCGTGAGAGAGAGAGAGAGAGAGAGGAGAGGGAGGTGGGGGGGAAGGGGAGGAAGAACTCTAAACCATTAGCCTCTTTTGCCTGTGATCCATTGGGCAATGGTTTTATGTGGTTGTAGGAGACTTACTGCACTCCCTTAATATATAGGTCTCTAGATACAGTTTGATTTCTTGTGTTCTTATGCTTCTTGTGGACTGGGCTGGTTTTCTTTTATCCCACAGGTACTGATGGTGAGCTAACTATACAGAGTACTCTGGTAGGCCCTTAGAGAATAGAAAGCCCTTATGGAGCTCCCTATCTGGGAGGGAACATAAGAGAGAGATAATTAGGTTGAATCATATGAGCTTGCCATTGGGAAATTACAAGGGACATACTAAAATAAATTACTGATGCATAACTAAAATAAGACAATATAATATTAGCTAAATACTGTGACCTTTCCTGTTTCAGGTAGCTTGCTAAATATTTTGCATGGACTAGTTCCTGAATCCTTAAAATAACTCTCAGACATGATTATAATTACCCCGTTTTATAGATGAGGAAGTTGAGGCTCTGAAGGGTGAAGTGAGTTGCCCAAAGCCACACACCTGGTTGTGACAAAGGTGGGATCTGAACCCAGGTCAGCCTGAATACAGAGCTAGTGCACTTAAGCCCCAGAATATAAGTACCTCTAGAGGTACAAATAAAAGTATATACCTTTTTATGCACATTGGCAATTTTTCCATTTTTATTTCACACACACTATATAGAGCATTTACTAACTCATCTGGTATATTTTGGCATTTCTGTGATGGGGGCACATCTGGTCATGCGCATCACCACTTAATCTCAGCATCTGCTTTCTTCCCCTTCTGCCCTTCTGAGAATGGCCCACCAACCAAGGGGAACATATCGAGGGAAAAGACAAAAAACAGATATATTTCAACTTGTGTTTTGTGGACATTGGGCCTGTTTATTTGGATGCCCAAACACATGCTAGAACATTTCAATTGTAATTTAATTACTTCCTTTTTTTTTCTTCTGTATCCACTTGTCCTTCTTTCTTTCTAAGTCACACATGCAGATGGGAATCATAGGAATGACCATTTCGGTTGTACATAATTACAGGAAATACTATTAAAGTTATTTGTGTATAATCAAGCCATTTTAAGAAGTTTCCTCTTAAAAAGTTTCCTTTTTTTTCCTTAAAAAGTTTCCTGATATCACATTCAGATACCAAAATCTTGTTTATATAAACCATAATTTAAAATTTTATGTACAAAGGCATATCCCTTATTTAAAAATGTTAGGTTTTTTTTTTTTTAATCACATGGGAAAAAATAAAGATGCTTTTGTTTTGTTATAGTATTAAGTGATATCAGTTTTGGTGGTGTCTGGTGAATCTGAGATTCTCCCCACTGATGTCCCAGGATTTTGTAACACCCCCCAAAATTTAAAAATTAGATTTGACAGCTGGCATTCTCAAACTAGGTCGTCACAAATCAGACAGTTGTCCCGTCTGCCTATGCCACAGTACTGAACTCTGTTTATATTAAAACAGGGAGGACTGCTTGTTCCCTAGATCCTTTTCAAGCCTTGAAGAGGGTGACTTTTTTTTTTTTTTAAATATTTTTATTTATTGATTTGACAGAGAGAGATCACAGGTAGACAGAGAGGCAGGCAGAGAGAGAGAGAGAGAGGGAAGCAGGCTCCCCGCTGAGCAGAGAGCCTGATGCGGGACTCGATCCCAGGACCTTGAGATCATGACCTGAGCCGAAGGCAGTGGCTTAACCCACTGAGCCACCCAGGCGCCCCGAAGAGGGTGACTTTTAGCATCAACCTGACTTGGGCTCCCTCACCAGCCCATATTAGACTGATGACCTCAGACAAATTACTGAAACCATTGGGAGCCTCAGCTGCAAAGTCAGGTTGATTAAACCTTATTCTACAGGTTTGTAGGAAGGTTCATCCAATAATGTATATAAGCATCTAGGTGGTTAGTAGGCATTCAGGAAATGTCAGTGCTTTTCTTCTATGTGGACATTCTTTTAAAAATCCTGCAGTGCCCTATACTCTTTATAAGTATACAAATTCAGTTTTGTTTGATGATCTGTTAAAGTCAAATTTGTGTGTCTTTGGGTTTGGGGCGACTTGGGAGAATAGCATTCTGAAATCCATTAATATTTCATTGGAGCCGTGGAGCAACAGCTGTATAACTTGCTTGGTGGGTACTAATTGCAATGAATAATCCATGAACTCTTTTGAAATGTAATTCTTCAAAATGGGTATTATAATTAACTTCCAGCCAATCCAAGAGCACTTTAAAAACGTGTTTAAAAATTTCCCAAGCCAATTAGAAAACTGGTTGGACCAACTGTCAAGTGTAGAGTAATATGCTAATTTATGCAGAGACTACTGTTCCAGGAAGGCCTTGGCTGAATGTGAAGCACATTTTCTGAGAAAACACCTCGATGATACTATGTGATACTAAATCACTGAATATATTTTTAAGGCATGTCCAAATACAAAGCATACATTGTGAACGACAGAGCAGCAGTTACTAGAGCAAGATATGGTTTGTTTTTTAAAAAGATTTTCTATCTTGAGTATGACAACATTGTATGCCAACACTGACATATTTATCTTGCGCAACACAGCATAGTTACAGTATCCTTATAAAAGCAAGCAAGGTGTACTACTACTGTGTTTAATTCTAAGGGGATATAGAAACTAAACAATTTCACTTGAATAATTTAAATCTAGCGATAACTTGATTTAAAACTCACCAAGTATCTCGGGGACATGGGTCTGAACATGCTGTTTATCAGCAGGACCCCCACTGCTATATGTATTACAAACTAAAATAATTTTAGAACATTTTTGGAGCTTACATATGTAGTTTTTTAAAAATCTAAGTCACATTCCTATACAATTCATCTTTTACCTGCCCTTGATGTTTATTTAAAAGATAACAAGACCCCCACTGTATTTTCCTTGGCATTTACAGGAAAAGTAAATAGAATTAACCTAGACACAAAGATACCCCTCCCAATCCACCCTATCATAATTAACGTTTACATAAACACTTTGAGGGCTGGATGGTTTATGGAGAGGTCTCAACAATTTGAGATTTGTGATTCAGAATGGGTAGTAACTATATACTTGCACCAAAGAGTGTTAGAAGATTGGGTAGCTCCGTTTTTAAGACTGGGGATCACGTAATGAAAATTCCACAAATTTAAAATATTGGTGGTGATAAAGGATATCCAGTAAAGAGAAGGCAATAGGAATTGGATGTTTCCAGTGACTTAATCAGCTCCTCACCTTCATCTTGGCCGCTAAAGTTATGTTTTCTTTTCTTTTCTTTTTAATGCTGACTTACAGATTTCACAGATAAGGTTTCACGATTCTGGAATGAAAAGAGAGGGTGTTGCAAAGGAAAGCCTAGTACATTTAAAAGTTAGAATGAATCAGTTATTTCCCAAATAACTAAGTAAAAGTGTTGTTTTACTTTTTTCAAAAGCATATGCAAAATAAGGTATTTACTGATTCTTATCAGAGTTCTAAACAAATATTTTGCTTTTTGTTTTTAACCCCCGGCACCCCCCATCCCCCGTCGAGCTAAAACTGGAGAGAGAGAGAGAGAGAGAGAGAGGTGTGTGTGTGTGTGTGTGTGTGTGTGTAGGGCGCCTGCAGAGAATAGCACGCATCTTGTAGATCTTTAAAAAAAAAAAAAAAAAAAGCCAAATAAACCTGTTTCTTGAATAAACCAATACATTTCTGAAGTTAAAAAGAATCCCGAAGGAAACAGGAATTGACAGCTTGGGAGCTTGATTTAAAAAAAATTTTTTTTTTTTTTAAATTAAAAAAACCCTAATCTCCACATTTTTTGCTAGGCGAGAACCGAAGTTTGGAGGTAGACGAGCAGGCGAGCGGTTTGCCCGGGCGCAGAGCATGAAGGCCGGGCGGGCGCGGGGAGCGGGCGCCCGCCGCCCGGCGCGGGGGTGAGCGAGAGAGAGAGCGGAGCGCGTGTGGCCGGCGCCGCTCGGCCGGGAGCTCCCGCGCCCGCGCCCCGCGCCCCGCGCCCGCCGCCGCCGCCGCCGCCGCCGCCGCCCCTGGTGCGATGGCGCAGAAACCCCGTTGACAAGGCACTGCTTTTTCATGACGGTGAGTTTCCCTTTGAGTGTATTATAATTTTGTGATAAAAATTTCAAGGAGAAAAAAAAAAACACACACAACCTCCTTCCTCTGCCTCTTTCCTTCGGGGAGGGGAAAAGCGAGGGAGGGGGGGCTGGAGATCTATCTCCAGACAGACAGAAAAGAAAGAGGAGCAAATTAAACACCGAGTTGCCAAAACCAGGATATTAGGTTTCAGCCCAGAGAGCTATTGGCTAAGGCTGTGTTTTTTTTTGGGGGGGGGGTGGGTTTGTGGGTGGGTGATGGTGGTGGTGGGTGGATGTTTAATGGACACGGAGAAAAGGGGAATCGAGTGTTTATGCCTTTCCCAGCGCCGCCCGGGCCCCGGGAAGACCAAGTTCAGTGTCTCGGGCGGGGGCGCGGGCGGGCAGGGGGCGGCGGGGCCGGGCTGGGGGCGCCTCGGCGGGGTGGGGGCCTCGGCGCCTTTTTTTTTTTTTTTTTCCTTTTCCGCGGATGCAAATTTCTGGAGCGGGGAGAGGGAGAGCCTGGGAAGGGGGGTGGCGTGGCGGTTGGTGGTGGGGAAGAGAGGGGAGGGAAGCCTTTTAATGACTCATTGATTGAGCCGGTTTAAAATTAGTTGTGTGCGCGAGTGTGAGTGTGTTTTCCGCCCCCCGGAGCCGCCGGGAGCCGGGAAGGAGGGAGCGGGGCTCGGCGAGGGGAGGACGGCGCGGCGAGGCCGCGAGCAGGGGGCAGGGAGGGCCAGGAGTGACGGCGGGCGAGGAAGAAAAATAAGCTTTTCCAATCTCCTCCCCTCGGTTTTCCCCCCCTCATTTCTTTTCTCTCTCGGCAGCTTTTGGGTGTGAATCGCATTTTCTTTCTTCTCGGCAAAATGGACCCCGCGTCTCGGGAGGGGGAGGGGGGAGGGTGGGGAGAGAGGCGGCGGCGGGGACCGGCTTTCTTCTTCATCCCGGCTTCCTCCTTCCCGCCGCTCGTGCGGGCGGCCGCGGCGAGAGCTCGGAGCCGGCCGCGCGTCTCAGCCGGGGCCCGGTCCGGCCCGGTGACCGGCGCGCGCCCGCCGCGGTCGGGCCCTTCCCCGTCGCCTCGCCGCCTGGCCCCGAAGCTCCTCCGAGGACCCGCGGCCGGGCCGGATGAGCCCCCGCGCCGCGCCGAGGACCCAGCCAGGGGCCTCTTGCCGGGCCCGCGCGGCCGGGCGGAAGAGACGAGAGGCCGTGGCGGCACTGTTTTGGCCGAGAGCGCGTGGGCCCGACGCGGTTCGCGCCCCCCGAGTCGCCCCGAATGCGGGATCTTTGGGGGGGGGGGGTGCGGCTGGAAGGCGCTAAGATGGCGCTGGGCCTGGCCCTTCGCCAGGGCTGGTGGCGCAGTTGCTCCGCGGGCGCCATCTTCCCTGGCGGCTCGGGCGGCGCCCTTCGTGGACGCTTCGCCGGCCGGGGCGCGGGGAGGTCGGGGGCAACCGGGAGCTTCGCTCGGGGTGTGGGGGTGTGTAAATGGGGCCGAGGCCGCGTAGCTTTGTTTTTCTCAGGCCCCCAGACCCAAAAGGCGAGGCGGCCGGCTCCGGCGGCGTCTGGAGCCTTAGCGCTTGTGTTTGAGGAAAAAAGGGGGCCGGGAGTCGGGCCTTGCAGCTGGTGGGTTCCCCCTCTGAGCCCGCGTCCCCCTCCGGTCAAAATGGGGGGGGGTGCGGTGTACTCGTCCTCTTTCCTAGGACTTGAAACTGGACGGCTTTGTCTTCCCAGACCTGGCAGGGGGCAGGGCACGGAGGCTTTCTTTTCATCCTCTTCCAGTTAGTCTTCAAGAGTAAAGTCAAACCAGGTTACAAAATTGCAAGAAGTCGAGGACAGTGTCTGCCTTCTGGTGACACGGTTCTCTATAGGCACCCTACCTTAGTTTTCTTTCTTTAGTTGCTTTATTGTAAAACAGCCCTGGGGAGACACTGATCTAGTCAAACTGTGGAAGGTTATGGGTTCCAGTGATTTGAAACATCTTGTTGGGTTTCATCTTAATTACTCCAAATGGTAGCGACTTAGAACAGTTCGTTAGCACTCTGATCGGAAAAATTAAACTCGCTTTGAAACTGAGACTATTTTTCCCCCTTTCCCTTTCTTAAAAAAAAAAAAAAAAAAAAAACCAAAACCCTGCACTGTTTGTGTCTGTTCTTTCCCATGAGTATAGAAAGGCTTTTCAGCTCCCTGACTCCCTAAGTGTTTCCTTAAAACCACCCATACAAGTATTTATCTGTTCTTAGAGCTGTATGAAGAGAGATGTGTGGATTTTAACTGTTTTCAATTGTTACTGAAAAGATTATTGGGAGGAGGAAACAAGTCCCTAAAACTGATCTCTCTAGGAGTCTACTGAGATGGAAAGTAAGTAGTTAACTTCTGTTGGGTAAAAGTAACATAGTGGCACCAGTAGGTGTGTCCTTGCATATATAAACACAATGTATATAGTGGCTGTTTTAGGCATGATAATAAGACCTACAGTGTTTTGAACGCTGCTGTTAAGTATGTGCCTGGTGCATTATTTAACTCCTATTTATAGCAGTCCTGCAGTACTGGTTTTATTATCTATTTATACTAGAGAAGAAACTAGTGTTCATCCAGATACACAAATTGTTCTAGGTCTTGCCATTTTAAATGGTAGAATTGCCATTGGATTCCAAAAGCCATGTTCTTGGTTCTGCACCTATGGTGTCCAAATCTGAGTCAGAAGCAAACTGGGGGGAGAGATTTTTAAATAAAGATTTGTAACATCACTTTTCCCCCCATTATTTGTTAAGGCCAGTTGGGTTTGTGTGTGTTTGTGTTCATTCAAAACATCTCTTATGTTAGGCAGTCTCAGTTTTAAGCTGACTTTCAACTTTCCCAAGCCCCTAACTCCCAATTTTGAAATTCCGGCCCACCCACACCCCCTAAATCTGACAATGTAGGAGTTTGTTGTTCCAAAGCTCTCCAGGTGATTCCACTGTGACAGATGTGGATTGGGAATATCACTATACTGCACTATGCTGCTGGCTCTTTTTTGAATCGGAGTGAGACTTGAAGCCCATACCGTTTTAAGTTTCGAAGTTTATTGCTCATTCTCAAGTTCATTTTTCTCTGGCTGCTGTTCATCAGATTTTTTTTAAATTTTATTTTTATTTTTATTTATTTGACAGAGAGAGAAATATCACAAGTAGGCAGAGAGGCAGGCAAGAGAGCAAGAGAGCAAGAGGAGGAAGCAGGCTCCCTGCTGAGCAGAGAGCCCCATGTGGGGCTCAGTCCCAGGACCCTGAGATCATGACCTGAGCCGAAGGCAGAGGCTTAACCCACTGAGCCACCCAGGCGCCCCTGTTCATCAGATTATTGAAACAATTTTCTTAGAGAAAGGTTTGCCTAGTCTAAGACTTAGAAATCTCAGTACTTTTTCAAAAGTGTATCTCATTCTGCTGAGAAGTTATTAAGCACGCAGGCATCTAGGTCTAGCTGGGCCATATAGTTTAGTCTAGATAGCTGTGGAACAAGAATAGAATTGAATCTAGAATTGATATAGAAATTGGGAATAGGGTAGAAAAGATCCTGGGGGGGGGGGACCTAGAGGTAAGTCCTTGGAAGAAAGGATTTTTTTTTTTTCAGAATTTTGAATTGTGAAGGTATCTTTCGGGACCTAGGATGGTGAAATTATTCTAAATGTGAGACTCTTTCAAGAACAGAGTATGCATATAGGACACAGAAGGTCAGGAAGAAACATCCAGAGCAGGTGATGAATAACTGACCTGACCAAAATGAGAGCGAACGAAGTCAATGATGAAATCATTAACTTCTCTGCTGTAAGAACCATATATATTTTGTGTTTTCCTTTATTTTCAAATCCCTGTTGTGTTTAGTAATTGCTAGCGGGAATGGTTAAAAACTTTGATTTTTGATGCAGATGGCAAAATTATATTATCTTTGCATACGTATCCATCTTTCTTTCCTTCCACATTTGAAAATTTTTATCAGGAACACCTGTTGAATACCTGTGTGCAGTCCGAGTCCAGTCCAGATCAGTAGGAGGGTGGAGGTCAAGGCTTTGACTGTCCTGTGTGCTTTTTCTCCCATCGTGTCTCATGGTAAATGCCAGAGTAATTATGTTGTTTAACTAAAATCCAGTGAAGCTTGAAAGGAGGGGAAATCTAAAATAAACCTGCTTAGACAGGAGGCATAGCGTCTTTATTTTAAAGTAGCCTTTATTGGGGGTGCCTGGCTGCTTCAGTCAGTAGACCTCAGTCATCAAGACCATCCTGTCTTGGGGTCGTGAGTCTAAACCCCTCATTGGGTGTAGAGGTTACTTTAAAAATAATAATTTATAAAAAATAAAATAGCCTTTGGTGGAATTCAAGACAGGTGAGATCTCTGCCTTCATGGAATTTATGGTGTAGTGGGGAAGACAGAAAATAAGTTAAATACTGATAAGATAATTACAGATTAAGAAACTTGTAAAAAGTTAATAAGTTGGTGGTAGATCTAAAAGAGCGTGGTATGGGGAATGGATGTCTTGGCTAGTGAGAGTCAAGACGCATCCCTTTGAAGAGGTGTTATTTGAACTGAGGCTTGAAGCTTGAGCCTGTGCTAGCCCCAAGAAGCTGGGGAGACAGTGCTAGCCTGTGAACCAATGCAAAGACCTGGAAGGCCCAGAAGGGCGTGAGTGTTAGAACAGAGAGAGGCAAGAGGAGAATGGAATGAAATGGAAGTTGAGAGCGCCTCTGGGGCTTCCTGTATGAAGCTGTACAAGGAGTTTGGAGTTTTATGTTACTCAAAATGACAAGCTATTGAAGGACTTTCATTAGGGCCTCAATGTTTTTGTTTTCAACGGTCACTGCCCCTCTGTGGAGCAAGGAAGGAAGTCAGGGGAGTTAGGAGGCCGATGTAGTGGCCAACTCAAAATTGATGGTACCTTGGGCAAATACAGTGGCAGTGGGGATGGAGCAAAGTGGATGGCCGGTTCCAGAATCAGAAGTATTTACTTAATGGGTTGGCTGTGGAGAAAGGAGGAATCAAGGAAGCCTTCAGGGTTCTAGCCTAAGCCTTGGTGGCTGATGGTGCCATGTGCTGGTGGAGAAGACTGGAGGTACAGGCAGGGACGGGTGGGTAATAAGAGCTCCATGTGGAGCCTGTTATGTTTTTGAGATACTTGCAAGGCATCCAAATGGGATGTCAGGTAAGCAGTGGATATTCAAATTGGACTGATAGGAGTAGACTTAAATTGTGGGAGTCACTAGTGGTACAGATGGCATGTTGTAGAACTGGTTGAGATCGTTTGTGATCCGGGAAGCCTTAACATCAAACCATAAAACACATCCAGTGGCTCAAGGTTGGACAAAAGAGATGGAGAAGGTTTAGCTGTGAATGTGAAAGAGTGCATTATTCTTTTCAAGAAAGAAGGAATGGGCTCTGCCAAATGCTGCTAAGAACAGTGAGGATGAAGAAGTGACCACTAGGATTTGGCAACACGGAGGTGGCTGTTTGACAAGTAGTTTCTGTGGCATATGGGGTTGGAAGCCAAATTGGAATGCACTGAGAATGGGATGAGGTGAGGCGAATGGAGCCCACTTGTTGGGGAAGTCTCACTGTAAGGTGAGAAGAGTGACAGCACAGCAGAGGCTGGAGAGGGAGGTGGGGGTCAAAGATGTGCTTTTTTTTAAATCATGGGGAATAGAAGAACATTTTTAAATAGACTAATGGCGGGGGTGCCTGGATGGCTCAATTGGTTGAGGGGTTGCCTTCAGCTCAGGTCGTGATTCCAGGGTCCTGGGTTGAGTCCCGCATTGAGCTCCCTGCTCAGCAAAGAGCCTGCTTCTCTCTCTCCCTGTGCCTGCTGTTCTGCTTACTTGTGCTTTCTCTCTCTCTCTCTCTCTCTCTCTGTCAAATAAATAAATAAAATCTTTAATAAATAAATAAATAAATAAATAGACTAATGGGAATATCTAATAGGGAGGGAGAGACTATAATAGAGAAGAGAGATAATACTACCAAAGGTGCAGAATTCTTGAGAAGGTGAGAAGCTATTCAGAACACAAGAAGAAGGTTTGCCTTTGGTGGGAGCAAGACAGCTTGAGAAGGAGAGAAGGCAGAGAACATGGGCACAATGCAAGAACGTGTATGAATTGAGGGTAGAAGACAGGGCTTTCAGTCCTGTGTTCTCAGTGAAGTCTCAGGCATGGCCAGCAGTTAAGGAAGGAGGGTTGGGGATGGTTTCAGGTTAGAAGGACTCATCGTCTTGGACAGCAGAACTGTGAAGTCAGTCACTGGGAAACAAGGTAGGACTGTTGCTCACAGGACTGTCTGGCTGTGAGTCCAGGCTCTCGAGTCTGAATTCGAAACCAGTCTGTCCAGGTAGTTGAGCGGTTTACGCCAGTGACCTCCACCTGTTACAAGGGAAGCCAAGAGCAGGCAGGGGATTGGTTTGACCAGAATTAGAATCCCCCCTACCCTCTCAGCCCCGGTGTGACAGAAGAGAGAAGATAGGGACCCGAAGGTGGTTGCAGGGGGCAATTAAAATGAGGAACCTTGGAGTGTTCGCTGGGTAGGAAATCAAGAGAATGGGGTTGGGGGCCATGAGGGTAAACCATGAAGATCAGTCTTGGTTAATAAAAAGAGTGAGTTAATGTCAAGGTGAGCTGCTGAAAAATCCTGGAGTCAGGTAGTGGCTGCAGCTGCTCCTCAGGGTGAATGTACAGAAGGCCCCCGAGCCATACACATAAAGGTGGAACCACGTGTATTTTACCACAATAAAAATGAGTTAGCATCGAAACATTTTGTGGCAGGTACAGATGTTATTCGCACACTGCCTTGGACTCTTTGCAGAGTACTGTATTTTCTGTACAAGAAAGTAGCTTTACAAATCGAATCCTCAAATTCCTGGGGCTAGGGAGAGCATTGCCACGTACCATGGTCCCAATCTTGTGTGTGCAGAACAGTCACCTGGAGATTCTGGAGTGGCACCACTAAAAAAAACCTTATATTTTTTCTTTACCTTTTCAGTGACTTGTTCTAACCCTTCCGCATAGCTTTTAAAACAAGCCAAGCACTCAATAAACATTTGCTGACTAGTTTGACATC